TCTCGCCGAAATTTCGAAATCTCAGAGATATGGCGAGGCCATGAGAATGCGAGACGAGGGTATTATTACTATTGTGGCGACGCCACTCTAGCTTGTCCGCTGCTCTCTGCAGCGCGTGCGTTAGCGCGAACATTTACGCAAGCGCGTCTTTTGATTTCAACCAATCAGCGCTGACGCAACAACGTCACACACCCGACGTCACACACGACAACAGCTAAACTCAGCTAGCCGAGACGACACTCGAAGTCGGACGGACACGTTTTTCTGCCAATCTGTGTGTTTCCCTTTTTGTCCAAATATATTTTTTACAACAACTGTCTTGTCCACAGTGTCTTTTGTTCATTCCACTGGGGTTTAGCAAGTGTGTTTATAAAGAGACGAACATCTCTTTACTGTTACTAGTGTTAGTGTTTCAACACGGCTACGCTCGTGAAAGCAAAACAACAAACTCAAACGCGTCTTCGTTCAATGTTGTCAACTAATATCCGGATTAATTTTCGGCAAATTTTCCTCAATTCTCCAGACAGATTTTCATAAAAATTTGAAAAACCCGGAATTCCGGGAAAATCCAGAGGACTTTCATCTCTGATTAATGTATGTGCGAATGCGTTTGCTCACATGAAAAGTGAGTGGCTTCAACAAAATGTGTTCTGTCCTGAGTGGTTTAACACATCTAGATGTAAAAATCATGAAAGCTGGACTTCTGAAATGTTTTCTCATATTCAACTTTTGATCTGAATCCATCTGTATAGAAAAAGAACAAAGTGAAAGTGAGCAGGGAGCAGTTTGGGGTCTTGATGTCTTGTGCAAGGAGTCTGCAGTATGTGCCTGGGAATGGTCTTGAACTACGGTGGTAGGTAAGAACTTGACCTCTTGGCCACAGCTGCCCTAAAGGAATTGACCCGGCTGTTCCAATTCTTTTCGCGCGGGCTATAGATGTCATGAACTCAAACTACACTGAAACACACAAAAAAACTCACCGTCTTCATCCTCATCATCATCTGCTGGATTAATCACCACAGGTGGATGGGTGGGGCTTGGAACTGGTTCTTGGGTTTCTGTCTTCATGACTCCTCTCAACTGAGGATTAGTTGCAGTGGGGAGAGGAGTGGCTGGCAGCGGTGGTGGCTCTTCATGCTGCTCTTCCTCATTCTCGATTTGACCTGGGAAAACGTTATTTGTCATTTTAGCTGAACTTCACAGGTGGGGTTGAAATGCTCTTACACTTGCTAATGTAAAAGTATCTGGGAATACACTCACTTGTGTCCGGTGGGATAAGAATGCCATCAACATAACGTGGCTTTTCATGGAAAAAGGCACAGTGTGGTTTCTGGCAGCCGGCTGGATGGGTCTCCCAATAACATGGTATTTCCTTCCGTTTTTTCTGTATTAACGTAAGAGTTTACCATCATACAATAATATTAGAAGTATGGTCTGATTATATTCCTACTATGTCAATACATTTGAGTCTTTTTCAATCATGCAGATAAAATGGGCTTGTCTGAAATTGCTGAAGATTGATTAAAATAATAATAACAACAATAAGAAGAAAAATAATACAATAGAACTCACTCAGAAAACCTCTTCACAACACAAATAATTGTGGAAAGGATGTTGGTCTACTCAAATGTAGATGTAAAAACACTTCTCAGCCATATCTTTAGGGTTTATTTCTTACCAAAATGGTGGTTACCCAAAACAATCAAAATGCTTCAGAAACTCAAAAGGTAGGCTCAGAATTAACCACGTCATATCCGACCGACTAGTCATCCTTTTGTTGTTGCTGGATGTTATTTGGGGGGGGAATGTCACCAACAATTTCCTTTGATCAAATGTTTGGCTCGCCTGATTCACTGTCTTATACAAGAGAGTACTTTGACAGACTACTTCATTATGAAAAAGAAAAAAAAAACAGGAGCTGGGACATGAATCCCATCTTTGCAAAGATAATTATGCTTAGCTTTGATTACAATGTCAGAGAGGAAGTGCTGTCCGTTATGGGCAAAATTTTACAATCCCGATATAGGCAGGGCTCCAGACTAACTTTTTGCACTGGTTGCACGAGTGCGCCCAACTTTTTTTCCTGCACAATGAACACACACGCACACACATTTTGAAATAAAAGCAGGACCCTAAACATAACCTCACGCACATTTGTCACTGCACCATGAACATTCTACTCTTTTCGTCAAGTACAAAATAACCATGCAAATAAAGATCATGTGAAATTCAAGTCTCTTGCATTCTCATTCTGCTGATTGTAATGTTTTCAAGATTGAGAAAGGCCAAAATAGAAAGCATGATTTAAATTTCAATGCATCGTCCAGCTGTAATTTATGCGTTGTGCTACTGTTGGTGGCCGGGATTGCCAAATAATGGCCCTTTCCGCCTCTTTGAGGCTTGTTTACTGTGTGATTAGCCGGGTTTTCTCCTTGTAGATTAATAAGAGTAAACCTGGCACTCTTGTACCCTTTTCCCACTGAAACTAGCGGGCAGTAGTTATCCCTGGCTACACGCAACCAATTGGCATATTGTCCCTTTCCCATTGACCAACAAAAGGAGATTCTGTGCCCCCCCCCAGCCCCTAAACTTCCACCACTTTGCGTCTGGTTACGTCACCACGCTATGATTGCGTAGATGATAGTGCGACAGATTTCTTGGTGGTAAACAAAGCAACATGGAAGTGACTTTTATCATGCTTTTTACCGTCCTCAAAATGGTCGAAAAGCAGCGGAGGATCAACTCTTTGCTACTAATGAGACAATGTAGACGACGTGAATTTTTGGCCAAAATTGCAGGGGGCGCGCTATATACGAGGGCCAATGGCGCGCGATGTTATGACGCATCACGCACCGCCCTATGTCATCACGTAATTACCGGGAAGTCCCGTGTTAGGCTTTCAAACTGCAAGCGGAGGCGATAGGCGGCGATCACAACCCGCCTTCCATGGCGTGCTGGTGGTCACGGATCGACACTGGCCAGTGAGCCTTTCCCACTGCCCAAAAAAGCATGTTTACCCGTGGTTTTGCGGCAGTGGGAAAGGGGTATTGGACAAAAATTAACTGCCATTCAAAAACTGATCACTGGCCCCAGAATGAGCTTGTTCAGAAATGTTCACGAAGCCACAATACACAAAGTTCAGTTCACATTCACTCAAAATATGAACGAGTTAACGAACTTTTATTCATTAACCATGTTTAGGTATTCGACTGGTACGCGCCAACCATTCCCGATACGAACAGCGGAAAGCAGAGAAGTTGGGCGACTGTTCAATACAGACGTGCAGTTTTTGGGTGTGCGCATGTGTTAAATTCATCACATTCATTTAGGAAATGTGTATTCGCCATCCAATGGTGCTAATGTTAGACGTTGGATTTTTTCTAAGATCAGCGTTTTGCGCATTATGAGTTGTTCAGTGATTTCTGTCACAAAATACGGATTATCCGTCACATTTGGCAGCTCTCTGTTTCTAATAGACCAGGGGTGTCAAAGTCAAATGGACGGAGGGCCAGATAAAAATTTTTGCTGCAAGCCGAGGGCCGGACTGATCGAATGTTCATTGAAAATTTTAAAAATAACCACATATTGTTTATTGAACCAAATTTAATTGACTGAAAACCTAACAAATACATTCCAATATGGTCAGATAAATAAAGCAACATTTTTTTATGGCTATGTCAGTAAACTTTAATTTTCAACAGGCACAAAAAAATTTCCTTTGTGTAAAAATCCCCATAACATGAATGAAAGAAGCCGATATTATTCAAGGCACTATCACTAGTCCATATTTTCTTTTAGCAAAAGTAGGCTAAATTTACTTAAAAGAAAAACAAATAATAGTGCAGTAATTTTCGATCATTTACTCAAATAAAATATTTTTAAAACATAATTGGATTGAAATACAATAAAATAAAGTGCAAAAATGTATAAACCAAAAACAACACTTTCTTCAAGAAGTAACAAGCAGCGAAAGCAAATATTGTACTTTAATTTTTAAACTTGAACTGAGTAAAAACTCTTAGTATGTGATTGCACAGTATATTATAAGTAATATTCACTTCTTTGAGGCTGAGGCTGATACTCGGTGGTGTCTTAACTTTTCTACAAGTTCATCAATATTTGGGGTCAGGCTCTGAGCTGAGCAAATCCTCAACATTGAGTGAGGGTGTTCAGCAGTAAATCGACTTCTGTGTGATGTTTTGTTCAGCTTCATCAAAGAAAATAGTTGTTCACACACGTATGTGCTGCCAAACTTTCGACAACGTTTGAGCAGCCTGGATGCGCAGCGGGACCACTGTGTCGGGGAGGAAACCGTCAAACTGCGCAGCACGCACTGCCGTATCTTTGCAGAAACACTGCAATTGTGTTTCTGCTAATGCTCACGTTTAAAAAGAGTTGCTTTTTTTCGGGGTAAACTTCGTCACAAACTTTAAGTATACCGTTTTTAATGAAATCCCCCTTCCCCCTCCATGTCCATGTTCTTGTTTGCGTGTTTCGTTTCATGATGTCGTCTCAGATTACACCATTTCAATCGCGCCACACTTTCTCCACACAGAAGACACACAGGTTTTCCAGCTACGTCCATGAACATGTTCTTCGACTCTCACCTTGTTTGAAACCCCCGGTTCTCAGTGTCCACCTTCCGTTTTGCCATTTTTGATGGGTATCTGAAAGCTAATGTCACTGTTATGGGAACGACTGCTAGACGAATAAATATTTAAATAAAGCGGCCGACTGCTTGGCGCGTCACCGTTGCATTGTGGGAAATGTAGTTTTGGTGCGTGTAAAAGATCTGCGGGCTCTCGGCTTGCTGCGGTCCGCGGGCCGGTTCTAATAATAAATCAATATCATCCCAGGGGCCACTGAAAACATTCTCGCGGGCCGGATTTGGCCCGCGGGCCGGCACTTTGACATATGTGTAATAGACCCTCATGGAGATTAGGTGGTCAAAACTTCTCTCGATATGATATTGTACAGACATGCAAAATATGCTGCTTCATTAATTTTATTGTTTTTAAAGTGCTTCTTACTGTGATCTCCATGTGGCGAAACTTGCAGACATTCCGGAAGCAACGTCCCTCCTGCCAGAGATTGCAGACAGTCTCATTGCCCATCGCTGCTTCACAGTGCCTGAAAGGGCAGCCGTCTCCCTTGCGGGATAAATTAGAGACAATATTATGTGACTTAAGTGTAGGAATATCAGAATACCTGAATACTGAACACCAATATTGCTTACTTTTGTGCAGGTAGAATAGTAAAAGAAGTAGCAGTCATCTCCATTGTTAGGCATTGTGAGGCTGGTTTATGTTTTGATTGGCACCAATCTGGCTATGACTTTTGAACTCAGTCGCTGCTTCTTCCAAGCCAACAGGACTCCCTGAAAACAAAGATCAGGTCATTGTACAGTCTGTAACATAATTACAGATTTTCAAGACATATGGATTCCTAAAATATGGATACGATACGATCTTGTCACAAATGAATCCTCACGATACGATGATTATCACAATGTTGTGGGTTGTCGTAGATATTTAAAAATATCTCACAATACTAAAAAAAAAAAAAATGAATAAAAAAAAGTCACAATATCGATAGAAAAGAAAAACACAATATTGTGGTTTTTGTACAAAAATAATAGTGGTAACAAAAAATAAGCTTGCCCAGACATTTTAGTCATGTGTTCCAATTGGTGCAAAGTATCATGGTCTGTGTAGTTCATAATGCTGTTTGGCTGAACCAGACGAAAAGGATTTTTTCTTTTTTTTAAGATAAGAAAACCTTTATTAGAGAAGATAAGAAAACCTTTATTAGTCTCGCAATGGAGAAATTCCCAATTCACAGCAGCAAAGTTATGAAAGGAATAAGTAGAACAACAAAATATAGGAGCTGCTGGAAAGGCAGCCACTCTCGCGGCGCCATCTTGAGGTAAAAAAAACAAAAATAACACAACACAACACATAGGACACAGACAGTCGTGCAATCTTCACCACTTTCCTGCATATACTTTGTTGTCTGAAGCAGTTATAGATGAAAGAGGAGAGGATCAAAGTGTCCTTTTACCAGTGGATCAGAGACGTCATGCTGAAAATGTGCACGTCTGCTACAAGCTAAGTTTTGAAAGCAAACATGAAGCTGTAGCGTCCATTGACAGAAAGAGATTAGTTCACTTCTCCTGTCCCACGTCTCGCAATGGAGAAATTCCCAATTCACAGCAGCAAAGTTTTGAAAGGAAGAAGTAGAACATTTTTATGTTGCTTTTAATATCGTAACATGATGATGACAACAATATTGTGACAAAATTAATATTGCAATATCACCATTATCGTTACATTCCTATTACTAAACAGCAAAATCTTGACCACATAATATACTCAGTGAAAACAATATTTTTGTTTGCCTTGCATTTATCTGGTGCAAATTACCTGAGGTGGGCACAGGCAGTCTCTTCCTCTTTTGCAGGTTGATGATGGTGTGTCCTTGTTTCAGTATGAAGTCCTGGAGGAACACTTGATCCATGAGATAAGAGTGAAATGGGGGTGTGGATCGCCCAGGGCACTTATTGCTGGCGGATTGCTTAACTACACTGATGGTGGATTCAAGTCCTTTTCATGATCTGTTTTCTTTTTTTCTTTTTTTTAAGATTTTGTTTTTTAAATAATTTGTGGAACATGAACAATAAAAAACTGCATCTTAGTGGGGGAGAGATATAAAAATGCTTAATCTCATGTTGCAAAAAGGGCACAGGTGCAGCCTGGAGGATGGCAAAAACAACTCTTCTTGGGCTGGATGAAATATTGCACACTTGGACACATTTGCATGATCAAAGAAGGGGAAACGGCCAGGTATTATCAACCAATGTTGAAAGGGGGGAAAAAAAGTCTTCTGCCCAAGTATTCTCAAAGGAAGGTATGTTTTCCATTTCCAAGGATCACGGCAAAGGACCAAAGGATGATTTAAACCTAAAAAAAAATCAATCAAAAACACTCCCCACAGGACTGAAGGGGTTATTATTGCACACGTTTGAGAATTCTGACTATAGGGTACAACATCAATAATTAAATACTTGTTTTGTCTATCCCAACACTTCACTTATTGTATTATCAAATCATAAAATTCATATATTTCAGGTTGACTAATCCCATGTTTATCCTCTGAAATGTAGTTGACATGAACACTTTTTTGTCTGGTTTAGTTCCACTTTAAATAACATCAGAAAACATTCCAAATCAGGCATCAATTGGCATGCACAAGTCTCTTTCAATACAGTATTCGCTCCAGAAAGCCCTTTGATAAAATGCTGTCATATACTGTACAATTGCTAGTCAAGTTACAATTTGATTCATCCAAATGTTTGCGTGGCCACAAGTCACATTTATTCATGATTGTTCTCAATCCACGATTCATGATGATCACTTACCGCCACCAATGTCCAGGTTTTAATTGTCCATTACTCAATAAATTTGTTATTTCACCAATCTTCTTGGCCCCCCTTTTTGACGCAGACTCATAATTTGACATTTCTGAAATATCGTAATCTACAGTGTATCCCAGGACTATGAGTCTCCCACAATGCAGTTTAGAAACGGAGAAGCTCTTGAAACACACTAGAAACCGGGAACGTTTAACCAAAGGAAGATTCTTACCTAAATGTTTGGTTAAATCCAGATGGCGACTTTAACGGTCACGATGTGTATGTTGTAAAAAATAAAAATGAAAAATATACCTGTATATAACTCACGTAAAAACGACGAAACCGAGCGTTGATGAAAAGTCGCTGTTATTAGTCGAATGTTAGCTGAAGGCTAATTTTATATCATCAAAAAATTAATCAGTTGTTGCTAGTTAGACACAATATCAATAACTTCATTAAGGAAATGTAAAGTTCTTTCAACTTTAGCGTTGCGCAATTTTGGTTTGTTTGCGCTAGGAAACAAGAGGCCTACTCACACATTTCTACCCACCCTTACACTCAATGTAAATATTTAAAAAATAAACCACCCAACACCAGCTATATGTCATAAAACAGATGCAGCTATCAATTTTAAATCATAGAACTCGCGAGAATTACCAGTTTCTTGATTTGAAAAATGGTTTGAGGTTGAAGGACTGTCGTACAATCCTTAGCTGCCGCGTTCAGCCACAGGCAAAATGGCGGCTGCCCTGTTTGTTGTTTTTTTTATTTTTTTTTAACTTTATTCAAAAAATTTAAAAACGGAAGTTTCTTTGATGCTACAATGTATTATTTAAAATACAGTCACATAACAGAATACACTTAGTACCGTTTTGACAAAACGTCCATTTAGTGCTTCTCGGTCAGTCAATGGGACGGGAGTTGTGAGCCTCTTTTTCGTCAATGGACGCTACAGCTTCTTGTTTGCTTTCAAACTTAGCTTGTAGCAGACGTGTGCACAATTTCAACATGACGTCTTTGATCCACTGGTGAAAGGACACTTTGACTCTCTCCTCTTTCATCCATAACTGCTTCAAACAACTGTATGCAGAGAAGTGGTTAAGATTGCACGACTGTCTGTGTCTAATGTGTCGAGTTGTATGATTTTGTCATTTTATGTTAATTGTTCTGTTGATGGTAGCGTGGGCACCTGCAGCTCTCTTGTAGTTGAGAGGAAAGAAATTTCATCTGTGCTGCGCATACAGCACATTTGACAATTAAAGTTCAATTCAACTTGACAATTCAAGTTAACTTGAACTTGAATGCATTCAAGTTAAGGTGACTTTGTGATGGCAACGTAAGATGGCCGTCGGTGGCTTCACTCCGCCAGATGGCGAGTAAGTGGCATCGTTCGTCTACTATTCATAATAAATCGGTGGCGTAAAGCCATTCAATGGCGTAAAATCGTTGCCAAATTATTTTATTCTGAAAGGCGTAGACCGGATATACGTATATTCCAGTAGTGCGGTAACTGTCAACGGCTTCAGTTTCCCATATATCAGCTGGCACCCGTGTGCCCGTTTCGCTGTAGTGTCATAGTTTTCGTTGAATGCAATTGTTTTAATTCAAACTTGGCAACTTTTTAATCAGTTCTATCGATTTGACAAGTGGAGGATACTCTTTCAAACTTTCTACCTGTTCCACGTCTCGATGGACTCTGTTCAGGTAGGTGATTTTCCTGTGTTACCACAGGTTGTCATCTGTCAAAAGGTAGCATGTTGCTAATTTTTTTTGGCTAACAAGGCCAGGGCCAGTTAGCTTCAAAGTAACACGCAGGTGCAGGCAGGTAAGTGTTGTTATTTCACTGTAAGAGCTAATTCGCCCGATAGGTAACGTAAAGTAAATTTGCTTGTTTGTTCGTCATATTACTAATTTGTCAAATGTCCACAGAATACGGTGTCCGGATTTTCTCTGGACCTGGGACCATTGAAAGAACCACTTGGATTTATTCGTGTGCTAGAATGGGTACGTAAACGTAACCTAATTGTTTTAGATTTCTTGAGCGTGGTGGATGTGAAAAGACTTTGAAACAAACTTCGCAGGTTGTTATTTCCACAACATTTTTCAACATTGACGTGCATGATTTTTACGCCATAGCTTTCAGTTAAACGAGAAGTCTTAATTGTCTTTGGTAACAATGTCTATGATAACAAAACGTCCTGTGTGTACCATTGTTACATACACACATGCACACGAACCTGTATCAACTGCAGTTTGCTGCCAAACCGCTAACCGGGCTGCGTTATACTCTAGTCAGAGGGCTGATACATCGTATTTTGATTATGAAGTGAATACAATTGCTTTTATTAGTCCACCCTAATGTAGTTTTTGAGCACCTAATACTGTTTCATCGTGGTCGGATCAAGATTATGAATTCATTAGTGTTTATTTTTTATTTGTAGTTTCCCATGGCAACAAAGTCAAAATGTTCTCCACAGTCGAAACTGAATCCGAAATTTGAAACAGATTTGCGCTCAGAAAAAAAAAGCAGCTGCATGTGCTTACCAGGAGCTCTGACAAATTTGGCAAGTCAAACTCTGAATATCTACAAACGATATTGAGCGTACTGAGTAATCTGATAGCATTCTGTAGTAAAAAAGGAAATCATTTGAGGAATGCCCTATCCATTTGACCGCTAATAATGGAAACGTATAATGTTTCTGATGCAGTGTGCTCAAGTCTTTGCTACAGTGTAATGTAGAACTGTATGAAGGGTGTAGAGAAGCAACCAGAACTTGCAAAGCACTTAGCACAAACAAAGCCTATATTTTCTCTTCATAATTAAATACATTATGAACAGTAACTTTTAACAACACTATAACTGTACTGTATACAAATCCATTTGAGTCCATAAGCAGGCTATGTTCACACTGGGGAATGATGCGCAGTTCCAGTTTTTGGGGTTTTTTTTTGGATACTTTTATGTAGTCATTCAAATTACAAAAATAAATGTGTCTTCTAAAATGTTTGGAATATGTCGGTGAAGTGACACAAGTATACACAAAACACAATGTCGAGTGACACGCATTCCCAGAAAACAAATCATGTGGCGCAGGGTTTACAGAAGTAAATATGGTCCAGCATGTCAGTCTCAGTTCTGAACCATATGTGGCAATTTCAAGGATTTTGTGCTTGAATTGACCAGTACCCCCATCGACACTGTTCGAAGGTATCTGGTTTTCACAGTTGTTTTCTGCTCCTTCATCCGCCATTTTTTTTTCCTTTTAATGACATCAAGGTGGTGCGTTTAGACTGCAGTTGCATCGGATACATATCCGATTTATATCCATTTACAGATGTTGCCTGAGTCGGATTTGAAAATAAAGATGAATTCTACTGTTCAGATTCGCTTCACAAAAATCTGATACTGTACATGATAGATTAGGGGAAAAAAATCAAATTGACAGCTGTATGTATGACCATATTCATAAAGGCTTACTAATGGGGTGGAATACTGTTGCAGATAAACACACTCACACACACACACACACACACACACACACACACACACACACATAGATAGATAGATACATACATACATACATACATACACACACATATATGTGTGTGTGTGTGTGTGTGTGTGTGTGTATAGTTTTATGAAGTAAATCTCATCTTTAAATTAATATATTGTAAATGTTTTTGAACACTCCCAAAACGATGTATGACACGTACTGTATATAAAATAGTATTCTATTGTAGTGGTGGGTGGCATGGTGATAGACTTTTTAGCACATCAGCCTCACAGTGCAGAGATGCAAGGTTTGAGTCCACAAAGGCTCTGGCCTTCCTTTGTGGAGTTTGCATGTTCTCCCCGCGCCTGTGTGGGTTTTCTCTGGGTACCGATACTTTGGTTTCCTCCCGCATTCCAAGAACATGCATGAGACAGCTCTAAATTGTCCCTAGGTGTGAGTGTGAATGATTGTTTGTCTCCCTCTGTGTGCCCTGCGATTGACTGGCAACCAATTCAGGGTATACCGAGCCTATTGCCCGAAGTGAACTGGGATAGGCTCCAGCACACCCGCAACCCTCGTGAGGTGAAGCGAATTGCGAATTGGAAAATGGATGTACAGTATTCTAGTGGTCTCTATGTACTATAGCTGTGCCTTTTTGAGCCGAGGCCTGGTGGTGTGGCACGTGATGCCAGCGGGTCTGCTTGTGAGTGTCTTGGCGTGAGCTGTGGCCGACAGAAACTCAGTGCGGGTGTGGTTATGTGATTGTGTTTTGTTGTTCTTAGTTCAGTAAATGGCTGAAAAGTGGGCTGGCAACTATGGCTCTTCTTTTCCACATGCAAGGGCATCACATTCTACAGGAATAACCCATAAAAAAGATCACTGAGAAAATCTATGAGCAGGTGCCCAAAAAATGTACCCTAATGTTATGGGAAACTCTGGACCTCTATTTCTGCATGAATAGATCATAGAATATGATTGGTTCTTCTTTGTCACAACAAAAGATAAACAGTCTTAAATTAGTACAACACAAATCATTATTTTTGAGGGGACACCAACTAAACATTCACAGTAGCTAATTAAAAATTAAGTCTTCCCGTAGGTAAATAACTCCTTAAAGAGCTAATAGTAATCAGGAGTGAGCCAACCAATAGCCCAATCAATGTGATGAATCGTGTTGGTTAAAGCTCCCCTGCCCCGTTAAAAACACATCGGTTTTGTAGTTTTATGACCTTGCGGCATGACTTAACCCATGCATTGGGTATGCGTTGTGCATAAGACCAGGGTAATTTAAACCATCTCTCTTTTGTCCCTCCCTAATTCACCCAGCTCGACCCCTCCAAGAGGATCAGCTGTCCCAGCCTCTATTTTCCCACTCCATCCATCTCTCCCTCATTGCCCTCCCTTAATGGACATAGAAGTTATATCATAGTAATACATGTCTGTACTGAATGAAACGCTTCATTTCTTCAAATATTGAAGGAATTATTTATTCAACACAATGCAATAACATAGTATTCATTTTTATTTCAGTGTGGGACGTAGAACATGAAAAAAACATTTTAAAAAGAGATTTTTCTTGGGGTCCCTAAGAACACGGACATAGATTGTAAACATTTCAGTGACACATTATATTAAAAGGTTTTGTTTATGCTGCTGGTCATGCACTGTGACATTGCATTTTGATGCACACTCTATTGGAGCTTACATTTATTGTGTTGCAGTTTGGGGTGTAATGAAAACTAATTTGAATCAGAAAACCAGTTTTGATTTAAGCAAACAAAATCTAATCATTCCACTATAATTGTACCATCCTTGAATTGTATCACGCCCCGTTTATTGAAGGGCATATCAAATTGTATTTTAGTCGAGAGATGCACACACCTGACACGGACATGACAAAAGCTCCAAATACACTTCTTTCGTCTTTCAAAAGTCTTCTATTTACTGTACTGACAAGTTAGTCCACATTGTAAAATGATTATCTTCTTTCAACAACAACAAAAATAGTCATTGCGTCATAGCGTCTTGAAGTGAGCCGTACCATATTGGATTGAACCGCTTAATTTAACTGAATGAAACTGTAGCATTTGTAAATGTACCATCTTTGAATCGTATTGCACCTGATTTTTTTTACTTTTTTTGAGTGATACACAGTCCTAGTTTTTATGCATGCATCCATCCTGTCATCCATCCATTTCCAAATCCACTTATGCTCACAAGGGTCGCAGGCGTGCTGTAGCCCATCCCAGCTTTCTTCGGGCAGCAGGTAGGGGACACCCTGACCTGGTTGCCAGCCAAGCACAGGGCACATATAGACAAACAACCATCTGGGCTCACACTCACACCGAGGGACAATTTAGAGTGTTCCATTAACCTGCCGTGAATGTTTTTGGAATTTGGGAGGAAACTGGATTACCCGAAGAAAACCTACACAGGCACGGGGAAAACATGCCAACTCCACACAGGAAGGCCGGAGCCAGAATCTAACCCTGCATCTCTGCACTGTGAGACCGACGTGCTCACCAGTTGACCACTGGGCCGCCCTCCTAGTTTCTATGCAACCAAAATACCGGGTACACAAATAATATCGATACGGTAGTTTGAAGGAGGAGCTCAACTTGCTCTGCCCATATTGCTCAATTTACCCCATGGCTACCATGTTGAATTATCTACCACAGCTAATATGGTACAGTTTGATGCTAGCTTGAGAACCCAATTTTTCACATTTATAGATGTCCTAACTTGTTTATGAAACAAATTTAAAAAGAATTACTTTGGAATGTGCACACTCATGGGCGTTATGGAGTAAATTCACTTTCAAGAGTAAAAAAGATTTTCGCAGAGGCCATATATGTCTGACTTCTGCCATGTGGCTCTTACCTTCACAGGTTCCACAAAATAGTCTTCCCATAAATATATCGCACCATTCCTACTCCTTATGACTGATTGTCTTGTAAAGATGACTGCAAGAGCGCAGCAAGTTTAATGAGGTTAAGAAAAGAGCTACAAGATCAGCTAAAGACTGAAAGAAATTTCTGGCACATGCTAACTTCCCTGGCTAGAAATCTATGATAAATTAAACATAATGAAGTAAAACCCAAAATCTTAAAAAGACTGGTAGTGTCATTTTTGGGTGGACAAGCAGGACCTTTAATTCCGGGGACACGATGAAAGCGCCGGATCCAAAAACAGCAGAAACTACATGAAGATTCTTTGTCTCATTGCTGAGAGCAACGTGGATTTACCTTACCACTATTAAAGTGTTTAGTCGGATGTAGAGTAAAATACAAAACCACCTGCTGAGATCTGAAAAAATTAAATATTTTAAAACAAATCTCCCAATGATCACGGTATTTATTTAAAAAATTATTTTTGTTGAAATGCACTGCTCCAAATTAGTATGCATAGTACTCACATTTCGTAGTTTGAAAAGAACTGGAAAGGTGGTTGTATTTGCTAAACCCAAAAGCCATTTCAATCAAAAACATCTGAGCAGGTCAAGTTAGATTT